CAAGATGATTAAATGAGTCAGATGACTGAAACTTATTATTTAAACGTGGAAGATGATCAAAAACGCCATGATCGTCGAATAAACAGAATAGATATATTTGATTTCGTATTCATATCTATCTGAGGAATTCAAATATAATATCATCGAAACCTAGTATACTGCACATCTAGGAATTACTTACGTGCTTAGTAACTTTGATGTATGACTGATTCGTGGTACGATGGAGCGGTTCTATATCGGTTAGAAAGATCTATTCATATCTACAACAGACAACGAAGTTATGGTTAAGTTCAGATGAAATGGGTTTGAACAAATAATGGGCCTGCAATTCCTTATGCTATGTACCAGAAGACAACGTAAACAAGAGAACAACATAGTATATAATAAAATGATTCTACAGTAAATGAACGTCTAAGCTAACAAACGATATACTACTAAAGAGTAAAGTTCGTAGAACTATGTCAGTTTACGGTAAAATCGCCTGGCTTATTTCCGATCAGGTTCATTTTCGATCGACATATTCTTGACACCTTTTGATAATAATGAAATGTTTGGCAACGAATTAGATAATCCTGAGTCTGGTTTGTTAAATGTAACTGCCAAACATCGCCGTTTCGGATTTGGATCTCTTGATGTTGCCGGTGATGGCGCACTTGGAATTCGCATTATTACTGGAAGTGGAGATGCCATAGTATTATCCATAACTACTGGTTCCGCTGATTTGTTTGTATCTATTTTTTAGAATGAATCGAAACACAGATTCCTTCTCACGATGGTGATTAGTAAGCGTCTCTTACCGCATTGAGTCATGTTGTCGGAACCCGATGCTGAGCTATTCATTGAAGCCATTGACAAATAGAAAACCTTTTGTTGTAATGAGTAAGAGGAATAGAACTAGTATTAGCGGATATCTGAAATAACAAACAAAGACTATTTCATCAGTTGTTTTTGTTTGGTTCTCTTGGCTAATATAAAGAGTTTATTCAAAGAGTCATACTACAACAAAGGTGATATATAATAGGAAACCATATAAAACAAGATATTAGTTACAGTAAGTGAATGTTTACAATGTGAATTTCGTTTTTCAACACAGCTAACGTGTTAAAAATCGAATGACGTAGAGCATTATTACTCTTCATCTGGCTTTGATTTGCATTCAGCATGTGCATTATATTGCTTTTTCTCTTGTGACTCCATCGTCGTTGCTTCTTTTCCATCTTCTTGAAACGTTCTAACCGCAGTCTTGCTAGAGCTGATACTATAGCCTTTGACCTGGAAATGATGTTGTGAATTAGAGAAGCATGAATATCAATCCATCTACTGATCCATCTCAAATAATAGATATTTTACCTCACAGCGTTCAAGTTGAACATAGCATCTAAAACATTCTGTTAGTTTTAAACCTGTAGTTGCACCCTCAGCTTGCTGAGTGTTCTCGAGAGTTCTATTCGTATTGTTGCTGGTTGATAATAAATCGAATTGCTGTTAAGAAATGATTGATCTTTACGATATTCGCGAACTTAGTTTTCTCTACGCACCTGGTCGATTTTCGATTGTTCCGTGCCTTCAGCTAAAAAGAAAAAGACAGTGAGCAAATAATGAGTTAGACTACTTCCATCTCGACATGTGGTTTTTGTATTGGACATTTCTTCAAGCGTAGAATTATATGTTTTTACGGTAATATCTAGAAAAGGAAAAGAATCATCTACCAGACATCGCTACGCTAAATACTTTCTTTTTTTCTATGAAACTATCTACTACGAATCACAACTACAAAGATAGACACTAGTATGCGAAATATGTTCAATGTTTTATATTGTAGTTGTTATCGTTTCTAGAAAATATAGAAAAACTATGTATATGAAAACAAGTGCGTACGCCTTACAAATTACATCATTTGCTTCGCTTATGTCTGTCCAATTGTTCGTGTTTCCAGTTACAAATAACTAACAACCGTAATTTAGTAATAGCTAAACAGTCACTGGCAGCGTAACGAATCAGTTCATGGCAAATGCCCTGCGTTGTTTGATTACTACTTGTTAGTGATTGACGCCATTTGCTTTCACTATGACTCTTGTCCAGAAATTCGTCAAATGCGTAAGCAATTGCCTTCTGAAGTGACCATTGATTGTGTTTGTGTTTCGCTGGTCGAAGTGTACATTGATACAATTCACGAGCATCTTCATATGGACGAAGATCGCAATCATGGGAGTACTGATTGTGATACCATGTTTCAAAGGCAGTCTGTATATCAATGTTCTTCATTTGATAAAGAATCGACCAGGAAAAGAGCTCATAATCAATAAATAGACTTAGTTCGTGTTCAGCGTTGCCCCATGAATAGATGATATTAGATGGGCCCAAAATTATCTTGAGAAGTGATTTAATCAACCAAAATGTCACTGTTGATGCAGGTGGTAGATGACAAACTTCGATCAACAGAACAATGGATTGTCGCCGTATGAATTCAACTTGAATTAATGCTGCTTCACGCGTAACGCAATCGTGTTCTGTATCAATGGTATATTCAGTTGTTTTTCTTGCCAAATCAATGAGGTAGTGCAATAACGAAGTATTAGTTCTTTGACTGATACAATATACTCGTCAATCATTCGAGGGGTTGAATGCTGGAAGAGTACTCAAGTGCACATTTGAATGTCGTTTTCGTTCGTTCGTGGATAGAGTTGAATTGGAATAGAAAGTTATATTTCTGTTCATAATGGATTTCAAACGGCTTGGATGGTACTATAATAAACGGATTCGATTGTTTTTGAGTTGTAATACCACTTGAGAAGTGTTGAAGCCTTAGTCAACCGTCTAAGAAATCTGCTAAAGATCTATCTGAAACAAGAACTGAAATAAGGATTATTGCAAAAATGATTAAAACAGGTACACAAATAATTGAATGGAAGAAGGCTAAAGCAGAATATATGATATAGGCTATTAACATCAAGTTTTATCCTACGACACTAAATATATACACTTTCAAAACAGATTGACATTACTCAATAAAGAGAAATGCAATCTAAAATCAACAGAAATCTAAAATTTCTCATCGGATAGCGTCGAGTGAGACGCAAACTGTTTTGACCATAGTTCACGAAAGTATTGGTTGAATTCACATCGTGGGCCATAATCATAGTAATAACTGAAACGAGCCACTTTCTTGTTAGCGTCTAGCTGTTGGAGTTTTTCCATGCGTTGACTCTGTAACTCGAACAAGTCGAACCATCGTCGACGAAATGTGTCATTGCTGGTTTGATCTGAAGAATATCGCATTAAATCATCCTCGAAATAGTCGAAGAAATTCTGCACATGACTTTCCACAAAGTAAAATGAGTAGCCATTGGCAAGATAAGTCAGCTCGAAGAAGTACTGATTGAAGCCATTCACTATGCTGCACCTTGGAATGGTCAACGACGCAGGGCATTGTGTAACGTAGGGCCGTCGGATCGTGATAGACTCGAGTGTAGAGCTTACCCCTTCGGTTTTCAATGTAAGCATTCCAATAATGGACATCTGGCCCAATGGATAGTCGAAACTTAACACTGGGATGTTGTTTTTGTAACGATTCTAGATGCATTTGGAGTATGTTGGAAGATTTATTCCAAGTGAAAAAGATGTGATCTTTGTGTCTAAAAGTAGAGATGATCATACTCATTAACAGGTATAGTGAACAAAAATCGAACTCACCTTCCGATGAGTTCTTGCTTATATTCAAATTGGTTGAGTATGGACTTTCGCCAATCATAGAGGTAAATATTCGCCAAGGTTTCACTTAATGACATTGTTCGTGGACTGATACGAAAAGAGATTTTAATAGAGAAATAATTGTAAAAGGTTTTCGATGATGCTAATTGAGACTTTGTTGACTTTGTTGTATGCCGATTTATCTCGTAAGAAAGCAATGACGGTAGCAATCATTGCACTGTGTACATCTAGCGAATAGAAATTAGTGATTTGAATTGTACAGAAAAGGGTTGTTGGTTTGAGACGATGTTGGTCGCATGCATAAGTTATGAGTTTTGTCATAAAATCGGCTTCGTTACAAAATGTCCATTGTTTCATCTTCTCATTAGCAAATGGTCCAATCAGTTGGTTAACGTATGTTGCAATATTCGATGTGATGCTTTGATGTGCAACTATGATTGGTACAAGTGACATTTCATCTTCCTATTAACCCTGAAACCCCCACCTGGGGTCAAAGCGGACCCCAAACAGTTTCATTCTAATGTTTTACATAAAAGATCATAGATCATATCACCCCACTCTAGGTATGCTCCAGCGAAGAATAGTAGAGTATACTATAGAAAGCATCCACTCAGTTCTTTTAGTTATCTATGAGATAAACTACCTCAAAGTGCTTATATACGCATATTGACCACCTGGGGTCCAATCGGACCCCATAATATAACATTGGTTTTCTCTTAATATTCGAATATAAATTTTTCATTCTCATACTTTACGCATCTATCCGCCTCTATGAGAGTATTTTAGATCTATATAATAAGGTGTAAAGTATATCAATGGTTTGACAACGCTATATTGGATATATTTGAGTATTCTCACGAATCGTCTGTTATCATTTGAAATAATTTTGTCTGTAATGAAAAACTTGAATATTTCCATGAAGAATACTTT